AGAGAGAGAGAGAGAGAGAGAGAGAAACTTTTCTCTAGGACCTGTAAATATTTTTGAATCATTAATCAAAATCTAACTAGAAGACTAACAAATACCTCTAAAATGAAAAAAGCGTTCTCATTAAATCTTTCCTTGCCTCGATGTTGTTGCTTTTAACTGAGTTTTCTAGTTGTCTAGGTGTTTGTGATCGATAAGAACTAGTCAAAACAAGGATTACTCGAACAGGTTGTTACCATCTGATGATGTCTCCTTGACTTGATTTTCCGACGACTTTGAAAACAAACCTTTTGCATGCTGTTTTATAGATRATTGACTTACCAACCGCGCCGCTGCAAACAACCAGAAGGCATCACTACCCCTAATTCTAGTACCATAGCAACGCGCCGTTAAATAATTCAATAATTTCTGCTTTGAACAATTTGTTCTTTCTTTGAAAGTAACATTCATTACTGACCTCGGAAAACTGCCTATGGACGCCTTCGGGAGAATTGATAGGTTGTTAATTGATAAAACGACACTCAAATCTCTCAGCAAGCTTTAGAAAGTGAAATACAAGTTAAGTTTCAATAACTATAGCTCTTGACCACTTTTAGGTAAAAAACAAGACGCTTAGAGTTGATATAAATCATTGCATTTGAAATACTTTTGATTTGGATATACATTGAATGTCCAATCAAATTGACTTTCCCAATGCTCAAACTTTTCTCATCCATTAAAGCTGTTAGATCTAATAACTTTATTATGATAATTCTTGAAGAAAAAAAAAAATTGGTGTAACACTAAAATATATCATAAAGTATCGAAAAAATTCGCTCCTGCAACTGTACATTCTAAAAGTTGCCTTCTATTGATTATATGTATTAGAAATATAAAACACGCACGTTGATCTCAGGTACTGTGATAAAAATACGCTGAGGGTTTCGTCAACTTCTCGAGCTCTCTACAGCTTTCAGCGCATTTATATCACAGTATACAGACTCGAGCGGGGGTTTTATATTATAAAATATACAAAACGTGTGAGTTGAACGTGTTTTTGTCATCTGATATAAACATGTGTTTTCAAGGGTTTTGACCAATCAGAGCGTGTAGTATCTCAAATATTTTATAAGTGTATATATATATTACATGGGTTATATTTAACATTTTATATTTATTTATTTATACTTTTCATTTTTGATAACACGCTATATTGATCGTTCAGTTTCAACAAATAAAATCGATCTTTATCTCAATATGCTTTTAAATTTATTATTATTCATTCCATACTATTGGAAAATTCATTGGCTGACAAGGGAATAATTCCACTTCCAATTCTACAAGAAAACCGATATCGCACGAATGGCGAAGCGATGAGTATGATATCGGTCGTTTCGAGTGATATTTTGAGGGTCTAATCCCCGAGTCAAACAATAGATTTTATATGGATATCATAGCGAAGCTGAAAATATTCATTAGTTCTCTTGCTAAATGTCAATCAAAGGGGCATATACTTTATTTTTGTAAATAGATGTCGTTCTTTGCTTTTTTTAATATACACCAACTAGCAAGAACGTTGACATACGATAATAGAACATTAGTGATTTAGTGGGATAGGAATTATATTAAAAAACAAAAGAAGATCACTGAAGCTGAACTTTTTCTTTTGTCTTTTAATGTATTCCTTTCTCACTAAATTACTAATGTTCTATTTTCGTATGTCAACGTTCTTGCAAGTAGGTGTATATAATATTTATTTATTTATTTATTTATTTATTTGTTTATTTTAAAATAATATTTTGCATGTTTATTTGGTGTTTTAATGGGAAATAATTAGAACGAAAATTAAGATTTAATGCATAAAATTGAAACCGGGTTCTCTGATTTTTAATGCAAATTCTCGTGAAATACAATTTGGTGTACGTCATCTCTAGCCAATCAGCGTGCGAATTTAAAATGACTTTGACGATCAAATCAAACGTTGATGTTGAACGGACGGGAACTAGTAATTGCGTGTTCCCAAAACGAGATTTTGGATCGTAGGGAAAAAATAATGACATAACATGCACAAGTCTTACATTAAAATTTGCTCAAGGCGTCTTTAAGTCAAAGTAATTATAAGTTAACTTGCGTTAGTAAACCGAATTTGACTCAATATATAATTCATCAATAAAATGGTTCGTTTGAGTTTGTTCGACTATTTGGCGCGTGTTTCAGAGATTTACTCATTAATAAATCATTAGCAATGTTCATTGTAAAAAGTAAATCCGGCAATGAATATATTTTGGTTGTTGATAAGAAGTGTCGGCTGGATGCCGTGGGCGATAGTTTGCAATACGATGAAGACGATCGCTTTATGCCCGTCATTGTTTCTTTCTTTTCTTTCTCTCTCTCTCTCTTTCTCTCTTTCTCCCCTTTTTGTATGCCTTGTAAGGTGTTATGGATGGGGATACTCGTTTGTCAGTTAACTACTAATTTATAGTTTTAGACGAATTTTCAGTTACTACCAAAACATTTGATTGACGGTCGTTGAAATGCTAGTCGGCGAATGAGACACTGATCAAACTCCGAAGCCTCGCACGTCGACGATAATGGTAGTAACGGTGAATTATTTTACTAGCACTGACCATGAACCCATAAAAAGAAGAAATATCTGTTACCTACTAATTTTAGGTCATTTGACATGAGTTAGCTATTTATTCTTAGGCCATTTGTCGGTTAACTGTTAAACTCCATCCACACCTTCTTGTAACTGCGAAGAGAATGTATATGCACGGTCATGAACCAGAGGCGCATGAATAAAGAACAAGATGTCGATTTTTGTGGAGGGAGGGAAAATAGGCTGGAGAACCTGTAGTGAATAAAACTTTCGTCCAACAACCAGCTGATCCGATAGAAAACTATAGCTAATCCGAATCGAGAAAATTAACAAAACTTACGTGTCACTTTTCRGCTCTTGAAATTATAGATTTCCAGGCCACCAAATGAAGAAAATAACGTTGCTAAATAAGAGGTTGGTAACAGTAAGACAATAACTAATAAGTTTTACTGAAATTACGGAAAAGTTTTTTTTTTTCTCGCTGGTCAATTTTCACAGGCTTCAGGACGCATCAGTTTTGCAGAAATTTTAATTTCTCTTTTTTTCGCTTGTAGCTTTCACAGTTGTTGTCCAATCAGAGCTCTCGCATTTTTGACCAATCAGAGCGGTCAGTATCTTTTGGCCAATCAGATCACATA